AAGTATGCTTTTAAAAAAGTTATGTTTAAAATGATGTTAATTAAATTGTGCCAACTCCTGAATAAGGTGACTCTCACTTTCTTTACCAAAGCTTTTAATGATGTTTCGTTTGGAATCCTCTGTTAAAGTAAGATGGATCTTGTTCAGTCGAGTCAGTAGCTGTTGAGAAATAAATGATATGTTTAAATCTTAAATTGATACCACTACATTTTAGTTCAGTATTGCAGTTAATCACAATTGTTTGAAATTTTGATACATTGAAATTTCATTTAAAAAAAACATGATTTATCTTTATGACTTACATACCCTCTTGTTAATATGTATAAATAATCATGTATATAAAAACAAAAATCCATAAATGTTATCTCCACTTATGATAATTTATCAATATCTACACATTTCCATTAAACCTTAAAATATATACAGATACTTACTCAAAGCTGAAAGCATATAAGCAAGGGAAAACAGAGATTCTGTCATACTGTAAAATAAAATGAAATAAAACAAACTGAACACAACAGATTAAACATTAAAAAAAAGTTTGTTAGTAGACAAGTAATAACAAAAAGCCCGTGGGCTGTGAAGTGCTGACCTGATTGAACAATGAATATATGTTGAACTTTTACCCTAGGGTAGCTGTCTACAGTAGAAATGGCCCGACTCTGAAAAACAAGGCACATGTCGAGGAAATGTAAACACATCGGATTTACCCTACACAACACATGTATACACATGTATATATATTTGTAAACTGAATTACATTTACAATACATATTAAGTACTAAGAAATATATAAACCTCTTTTTTCTATGTATGTCACTTGTGTGAAAACCATGGTTACCACATCAAAAAATTACCAAAAATGCCAAAAAATGCTATTTTGACCTAAAATTTGACCCCCGCAACTAGTAATTTTTTTCCTAAGTTCTGTCTGAAATTAAAGATTACCTACTTGGTTGCAGAATAATCTGGGTCCCAGAAAAGTTGTTAAACTTGATTTTTTGCAATTTTGCGTCGTGTGCTGTTGTCAAAATTTTACCTCCTTTAAAGCTAGCTTTTCATGTGTAGGCAACCTTTCGGATTATGGCCAAAATTTTGATCTCGAACCAAAACCTGTTGTTTTTTTTACAAATGTGATGCTCACATAGCCCACTTCATTTTTTTTTACATATCATTATACAGGGGTTAGCCTTTTTTTAAACAAAAATATCACCCATGGCCACAACCCTCTACTGTAGACTGCTACCTAGAGTGTGCACGTGGCACTGTGCATGGAGCCAGAGGACCAAGATCTAGTCACATCCCAGAAATATTTATGTTTTAATTGTATGCTAGTAGTAAAGTCAATATTATTACATACAATGTAGGCAAATACTAATGTAAACCCAATTAAAAAAGAAATCTGGGGATTTGATTATCTGTATATGAATTGATATATACATGTATATATATACGTTAAGTGATTCACACACATACAAGCAAATTTGTGTTTATTAAATATATTACATTTACCTGTGACACTGATACATAGGAATTCTTTGAACAAAAACTTCAAAATAATCTGTTAGTATTTAACAATGTTATGTCCATCTAGATCAGCACTATGTTTATATATAGTCCCAAAAGCAGCATTCCATTATATATGACATTCTGCTAAAGAAACTCTTATAATAATCTGAAAATGATAAGTCCTTAACTTCAGTATAATGATTTGATTTGATTTAAATTGTTCACCCTTCTGTTTGTATAATGATTATATATATAAACATCAAATGAACATATCGTATTCAGTCTGGTACATACAAGTACTGTCATGAAAAGTAAACAATAATGTGTGTTTTGTTTCATTGGGGTTTAACGTCCCTTCAACTCATGTCTAGGTCATATCAAGATGATGTCTGCACTGATGGCAAGTTTACAGTGCTGTCTCACTGAAATATCACATCGCAGAGACACTGACATGATATATACTTCACGCATCAGATTATCCTGACACCGAGCCAAATAGTCCTTCTCTTACCCAGTAATGTTGAACACTTAGCAGGGAGTGAGAAGATTGCCTAATTTTAATGTCTTGGGTTTGATGTGGCTGAGAATCAAACCTGTGCCTACTGGATCATGGGATGAATGCTCTACCTCTGAGCCACCGCACCGGTAAAGTGAACTTAATCAAATTAACCTGAATAGTGGATCAATAATAAACAGCATATCACTGGAATTAACTTTTAATTTAGACACTGACTAATAATCACACATTCAGGAAGAGAGCTATAATAAATTTCACATGTAGTCTAATATAATCATTCATATTACTATGATTAAATTCAATATATATCAGTATAACTGATAGTTATAATATTGATACACTAATTATATTATTATTTTATTTCATCAAACAAAATAAACATAAACGTTACACAATTCAAAAGAATTACAAGACTTCATTACTCCTAATTAACCAACCTTGTTAATTTTCTTTAGGTATCTATAATTTCATAATAAATTGTTGGTTGTTAATAGCTAGATTTGAATATTTGTTTATTGTTTTTAAAATAATCTTTGTTGGCTTGTAAATGACAATTTTAGATTAATTTTAAAACATGTCTTAAAAGATTATATTTTTGTAAATTAATTTTGAATTCTAGCATATTATGATATTAATAACATTTTTTTACTAATCCTGAAATTCTGATGATTAAGATAACCATTGTAGACAATGGTAATCAATGTCTTGCAATTCCCATCTTAAACAGAGAACTGTTTATTGTTGAACTACTAGAATAACATGTATACCTTATTGTCTGCATGGTACCTCACTGCAATTGCTGTATACAGCCTCTGTATCCTCGACACCTGGTTGTTTCTGCTATGTAGTATCATACCATAGATTGTTGAAATGTTGGCAATCTTAGACTCAAACTTTATCTTGTTGCCTAAAGCACACGTTAATGTTTTTAACAATTCAGGACATTCCTTTGATATCTCTTGAATAATATTCTCAAAAAATTACTTTGTCTTAAATGAAGTGGATTTTTGTTAAAAAGCACACTACGCCCTGGTGCACACATGGATTGTAATTTTTTGTCAATAAATGAAAAGAAAATATCACAGTTCGCTTCTGAGCGTATGGTATCAAACATAGATTTTATCCTCTCATACGTGCACGTGTGTTCAACATCTTCATCCGCCTCCTTAACAAGTAGAGTTTTAAGGTACGAGTGTTCCTCATTGATGTTTTTGCATATATCATTTCATCCTTGTCGAGTAGCAACGAATGTTCCTCCAAGTCTAACTGTACATCTTCGCTTACACATGCAGCTGATTCATCATTAAACACTATCTGACGCCTCCGTTTGTTATGGGTATCAATATTTAGGTTTTTAAATTTTTCTACCGACTTCTCCAGTTGTTGAGCTATAGTCAACTTCAACGCAGAGGGTGGGGTCTTTGCACATTGTTTTAAGTTTGAAGTACGGTTAAAAAATGTTAGCTGTACATGTTCTACTGCAATATCACGATAGGTCTGCCATTTACCAAGAAACACAATACATTGATCACATATAAAAATTCGATCCAACAATGAAGCACTTATTTCTAGTGACGTAAACTTAGACAATAATAAATAAACATTTAAATTACGAGCTTTCTTGTTATCTAGGCTATGAAGCCTATTTGATATGCTTGCACAGGTTACACACTTTCTTTGGACTATATTTTGTGCCACATCTATGGACGCCGCCATTACCTCTACCGGTACACCTCGGATTTACTAGCTGCACCAAGAGATAACGAATGCGGCATACATTCGAGGTATGATTCCGTGCCTAGCCGGAATTGGCCGAGAAGTTGCGATTGATCCCCTCCTTGTCCACTGTCAGTCTCACCGAAGAAAAAGGGCCTCCGGCCACATCTGCTTCGATTAAGGAGAGCCTATCCCCTCCCTATCCACTGTCAGTCTCACCGAAGAAGGGAAGCCCCTTGCCACATCTGCCTCGATTCAGGGAGATCCCATCCCCTCCTTGTCCACTGCCAGCCTCACGAAAGGGTAGCCTCCGGCCACCTCTGACTCGATTCAAGATGCATCTGTCCTCTCCCAGTCCACTCACGCCCTCACCGATAACTGGGAGCCTCCAGTCGCATCTGTCGTGATTCAGGAAGACCCTATCATCACTCTGACCGCTGGCGATATCAATGGTGAAGGTGCATGGGAGCATCCAGCCATATCTCCTTCGACCCAGGTTACAGGGCAAGGCAAAACAAATTAATTACTTGGTTCTCAGGCCCTCCTTTATCTGTCTTTTGGGAAGAAGTGGTCTGAGAACAAAATTATTAATTTAATTATAGTTTTAGAAGCTTTTAATATTTTATACGACTTGTGTACATATGGTGTTGAGGCTCTAAATGGATTGTAAGTGGCATGAAAGTTAAAAGGTGGCAGCTTTTTCAGGGGTACCACCGAGAGATTGGTTTCTTTTTTTGTTTGTTTGTTTGATTTTGTTTAACGTCCTATTAACAGCTGAGGTCATTTAAGGACGGCACCCCTGTGTGCAAGATGCATGCGTGTAGTGTATGTTTGTGTATATTGGGAGGCTGCGATATGTTCGTGTTTGTCTCCTTGTGATAGCGCGGAACTGATGCCGACTTTATAGTGCTACCTCACTGAAACATACTGCCGAAGACACCCAGCAGGACGCCCCACCCGGTCACATTATACTGACAACGGGCGAACCAGTCGTCCCACTCCTAATTGGTTTCAATCAAAGTTTCTCGCATTAAACTTGAATTAAATAATTTCCCTGCAAGATCATATATGAACCCACATGCAGGTGATTTATCTTAACCTTCCAAGAGGTAGATGTATTTTTAACGGAGAAGCCCTTACAAACTGTTGATAAGTTTCTTGCAGTGGACATGCCATTCTACAGCCTGCGGAGTTTCAAAATATCTTGGAGAAACTTCAGTATGAGCTGACCGTGACAAGCTAAGATGATGAGGAGAGGATGATTTCTAGCCAGGATGAGCTACAGAAAATAACTACTAGCCAGGATGAGCTACAGAAGAAATCTACTAGCCAGGATGAGCTACAGAAGATAACTACTAGCGAGGATGAGCTACAGAAGATGCCCACTAGCCAGTATGAGCTACAGAAGCCAGGAGTAATTGAAGCCACTGATCGTATTTGGGAAAGAGGTAGCCAGTTTTTATATAATTAGTCCATTATTATAGCCTATGATCTCGTGTGGGAAGGAGGTAGCCAGTTTTACTATATAATATATTTGTATATATTTTTGTTATATAATCTAAAAAAACATGATCTCGTGTGGGGAGGAGATTGCCAGTTTTACTATGAATTTGTATTTGCTAACAGTTGTATTACTATTGACTCTTGTTACCATGGTCAATAAACATTGTTCTGAATTCCATCAATATTTTTTTATTTTTTTCATTTTCATTTATAAATACTGGGTTGTGTTTGGTTCTCAACAGAATGTTTTGAAAAGAACATGGCATTTTACTGTTTTTGTTTTAAAAACAGGGTTATGTCATAAAAATATTACACTTTATCTTAAATAGACCCATTTACCTAGTTGTACAGCTGTACATGGGAATATCATTTGATCATTTATATGTTTGCTTGATTTCTGATAATATATAATGTAAATCCTTTCTCCGTCATTTCCATTTATCATAAATATTGCCATATTAATTAGAGGAATTGCACGGCTGTGCATGGAAAACCCTACCCAGTTGTACGGCTGATCATAAAAGTTCATTGTTAAATCCTTGAATTATAGTTATTCATTGAAAATACCATATCTGGTAGCCTATAAGGAAGGATGACATACATAACATGATTTTGCCACCAGCAATGGAATCAGCTGGACAAGCTGTTAAAAAAACAAATTTAAAAAAATACAATATTAATGTTGAATATTCCTGGATTCACTAACATGCTTGTAATACAGCAATCTTGGATTATTACTTTTTATGGACTAATTATTTCCATGAAGAATTACTGGTGGTATGTTTTAAAATCATTCTAGATCTTGGTGGAAGGGGTACAAAGTTAATGCCAATGTACCCCTGGAAATTATCCAACACTTTCAATTTTCATTCAAAGGAAAGTTAATAATAAAATCCACCAAATCAGAATCTCTCATGGAAGTACTTTACCTATTTTATCTATGCATCAATATGCAGTAAGCTTTTACTGCGACGTTCATCACATCCCAAACAGCAGAAGACTAGTATGACTGCCGCACGAGAAAATTAATCGCGTGACACGCACCTGTCGTTTTGGTGAATTCAAAATATATATGGTATTCGGGAGGATCTTTTTTCGAGGAAGGGGATAATGTAACGATCCATGGATATTCCAATTACAGGATGTGTGAATAAATAGGAAATAAGAAGTCAATTTATTAGATGCTGAAGAGAATCAGATGAGATTCATGGATAATCCTACGAAGAAACAGACCGCCATATTTACGAGTCGCATGTTCTGAATTAGACAGACATGACACGACTCAGAATGCAATAGTAGTACGGGAAGACGTTTAAGAAAACGCATCATATCAATAGTTACCGGAAACTTGAATCTGCATAGTAATATGTCATATTCATTTATATTCCATTGTAGAACTGTTATTTTAGCCGGAGTTGTCGACAGACGACCATGCTACCATCTTCGCAAACATCAGAACGCTTTATTTTATGATAACATTCCCTACCAAGTCACGACAACAAAATACCGGATAGAGAAAGCGTTACAGTAATCAGACGTCATTATCTGCTGATATCCCCCAGAATAATTAATGAGGTTCTGGGTGGAGCAGTGGCCAAAGCGTTATGCCGTTGTTGGAGCATAAAGATGTAGAAATGTATCTACTGCATAGTAGTCAACGAACAAGTGATGCGGAGAAGATGAAATGCTATAAGCAGTTTATTAGGGGTTTGCCCCTCTGTCTACCATTTATTACAGTATGTATAATACATTAGAAACAGTTTTCTATATTCGTGACCAAACCCTTGTTTAGCTGTCACTTTTATGATAAATAAACGGGTTATTTGACATATATTTTCATATTATTTAACCACAGACATCCCTTATTTCAGCACACTCCTGACATGGACTAAAAAATGAATATTGCGCAAACCGTATATGTACAGCTTGGAGCTCGAGTCTATCACATAATCAGGACGGATATGGTGATGCAAACCCCACAAAGTATTATTATTATCACGGGTGATCTAAATTTCCACTAAGACGATCATCTTATGTTGATGCTCGCCAGTTCTCTGGTCTACTAGATTCGAGGGGTCTGATGATTCAGCATGTGACACAAGCTTCACACACCCATGGCCACACACTGGATGTGATCATAACGAGGGGAGATAACTCAGCCATTCATGGAGCTATTTCAGTGATTCATCCATGTCTAAGTGATGTAAAGGGGAACCAATCTTTTGATCATCTTGCTGTCCACACAACACTGAATTGTAGTAAGCCAACTCCTGCAAGGAAGGACGTGAGCTTTTGGAAATCCCGCGAAATTTCAATACCAGATTTCAACAATGACATTCAGTCTTGTTCCGCCCTTCAATCTACTGAAGGCGAGGTTGATGCTCTTGTTGAGGCATACACATCTGGTATAGAAGCCCTCATAGAGAAACCCGCACCTCTGCAAACTAAGGTGATAACTGTGAGACCGAATGTCCCGTGGTATAATGAAAATCTCCGCGTGGAAAAAACAGATTCGTAGAAAAGCAGAGACAGTGGCGACGGACCAAATTAACCGTTCACCAACTGATTTATAGGGAGCAATGTCGGCTAGTTTGTTCACTACTCTTCCAGTCAAAGAAGGCTTCTTATTCGGATAGAATGGAAGAATGCGGCAAGGATACTAGACAGCTTTTTAGACTCACCAAACACCAAAAGGGACAGAAAGGTGAAATTATCCTACCAAGCTGTCATTCTTAAAAAGACTTAGCAAGCAAGTTCAGTGATTACTTTCTGAATAAAATCAGCTCAATCAGGAAAAACATTACCGAATTGAACACCTCTGCTGCTCAAGACTGCTGACATTGCATTTGATGGGGAACCATTGGCAAAGCTCTCACAAACAACCCAGGATGAGTTGCGCAACATTATCATGACCTCGCAATCGAAGTCCTGTGAGCTTGATCCACTGCCTACAGACCTATTAAACCAATGTCTTCCCCTTAATGTCGTGAACAACGACTTATGTGGGTCGCAAGTAGAATCGAAGGCTTTATTGGGAAACAACAGTTGATCTGCTACCATAAAAACATTTTGGATAGATATACATGTTCTCTACTTACCGACAACCTTTTTGTTTCCTAAGTGTTGCGTGTTTGTCCTAGTGGGATTGCCATTGAGTTCTGCCCCCGTGCCGGGACATAAAAAAGCTATTAAACCTGTAGTAATTCCTTGCTAAACGTTGAGCATTTAATGTTATCGTAACAACTGGTTTACTTGTTAGTTTATGTCAATTATTTAATGGTGGAATTAAGTGCCGAGTGCACGAATACGTAAGACACATGGAGGCCCGTCCTTAAATGACCTTAGCTGTTAATAAGACATTATCCAAATAAAACTAATGTATATTAAATCGGTCTAGATGAGTCAAAAACCTATCATAATTTGTGTAGATTTCCCGAGCAATAAAAATATTTCAAGTAATTTAATATCACAAGTTTTGAAAATTGGGTTTGAACAATTCTCATATGTTAAATCTTTGATAACTGGTATGTGTACTTCAATTAGTAATGACTTTAAAACATGAAAGGTAAATGTACATGCTACACAACGCACTATCCAGCTCGAACTGGATGCGGTATACATAATATGCATAGTTCGGATCGTAAGTCAAACTAGGGTGGATCTTTCTTTTTAAATTGATCTACCTCATACCACCAGTCAACAGTATTACTGTATTCTAAACCGTCATAGGGGAAATAACTCGAACTACCATGTGTAATGACAAAACAACACTGTCATATTTCTTGAAAACAATTTTGAAAAAAAAGGTGTTATTTCGATACTACATTTGTATTAAACAAACTACATTGTGTACCTATTTATAATCAAGTTCTGGGATCAAGGATAACTTATAATTAGTACTAATTTTCTATTACTAAATATTTAAGGTGCATTCATCTGTGTATGAGTTGGGGTAATAATACATTCATGTATATGAACAACGTTATGACTTGCTATTTCACGAAATTTAAACTAATAGCAAAAACAGTTATATACATTTAAATGAAACTTGTAATTTGTTTGTTTTTTAATGAGTGGTCCATAACCCTTGAGTCATATAATTGACTACAGGCACTTTATCTAATCTAATATTCGCGATGCACGTATTTTACACTGCAAACGAAATATAGAGGGGTTATCCTCATTGTCTCAATTTTCCTAAAATCATGCATTTTTCAAACGTTGATCGATAGGAAACCACCTAGATCACACATGGACCCTAAGGATATGCCTTGTGATATTGAGTAACTGATGTGGTGTGATGGACTGGTGGTTTAGATTCAGACCCAACAATGAATTACACTCTATGTAGGAATGAAGAAGGGTAGGGTTTTGTTCGTAGAAACGGGGCAATGTACGTAGACTACAGACAATAGACTGTCTACATCGTATATGAGCATGCAAAAGCAATGTGTTTATGATGAACGTCTGGACTCCCAACCTGTATAAGTTGGACCAGAAAAGATAGACTTACTATTGATTGGTACATGTACATTATATACAAAGAGTTTGGGAAGATTTTATCTGTAATGAAATAATTAACCAGGTACTAATGAATTCTGTCACCTGTGTATCACCTAAACTAATAACTTTACTCATAAATAAAATCAGCAGATAGCTATATATTTTATACGAATATTTACAATGTACTTGTTTCTTTGATTGTTAAGGGCTTTGAAGTGTATTTGTATTCTAATTATCTAAAAAGTGGATTTTTCATGTAGCTGAATGTGACTATTCAAGATACAATGTACGATCGTGATATCACGGTGACTAATATTGTGACACTTGTCATAGTTTCATTAGGATTGTTAAAATGATGGCATATTTGACATATGTCCATGTTCAATATGCAATTGATACTACTTTATATAGTTACAAAACAAACCTAGCGATCTTCAAAACG